TTTCTTCAAGTGTTTAGACCTCAGGAGTTGACAATGTAGATTGACTCCCTCTACTTGTATCCACATGAATAGCTTTCCAACACCAATAGCATGCTAGCACTTTCAATGTCTGTGTAAAGTCTTAACTCAATCTAGACTTTTTCATTCCTAAACACACAATCAGCAAACACAAGAACAATAATATCAAAGTAATAGCCCTTTATTTGTTTTCAAATCGTAGGAGTCTGGCTTCTTAAAATAGATATCAAAATAAGAGGCCTATTGGAAGTGTAAATACACAATTCAAGACTTAATGAGGTATAAATCCTTTTTTGTGAAACATGCCATGCACTGCGATGTGCCACGATACATATGACATGAAAACCTGTTCTCATATGGCAGTTCAATAGGTGAAACTCTGTCGGGCACCATTTTTGACATCCAATTGGAGTGATTTAAGTGTTTACAATGAAGCTTATAATATATTATAGCTAATAAGATAAGTTTGGACTCAATCTAATAGTTCAATCTAAAATTGGACACTTGAGTGTAAAAGTCACATTTTCTTTTAAAACTCATGCCCCAAGTGCTCAATTCTCATTCCTTGTCCCATTAGATTACTCTAAGCCTTAAACTAAGTCTAGAAGGACTACATATGCTTGATTGATACTTCTAATCACATATATCACATCATTTACTCAAATTGACCTCTAAATACCACATCATACAATTGTGGACTTATATGACGCATATACATATAACACATATTCATATAGACTTATTCCACTTTCAATCATCCAAAATTTTACATATGGGGCTCTGCTCATTTATAGTCATGAATTAAATACACTTGACTCTTTTAAGTAAGGCTCAGCCTGACCATTTAGGTCAAATTCTCATCATACACATAACTCACATTTAATTGACATATTCATAAGTGGAATAACTTATAAAATATCATATGCTTGCTTCAATGGCATTTAGGCCTACCCACGTGCCCTTCACTATAGCACCTTCGGCGAAATGAAATATCATATATATAAGCAAGTTTTCATGACACAAGTCATATACATATTCACATATACTTATGCATCCTAATTGGCACTTAAATTCTCAATACAACTTTATACATTTATTTTACATTAATGATGGTTATACCACTACCAAATAAGGCTACTCTTTTCTCACTTATTTTCTTAACCGTCTTGTGCTCTCTTCACCTATGTAAAAAGTAAATGAAGTGAGAAATATGTCCAATAACTCGAAGGTAACCTCAATTATCGGTTAGTAGACAAAATCATAAATAAAAGATAAAATAACAATTGTTTCAAGAAAAATAATAAAGTATACATATACAAGAATTCAATTCTCATCAATCTCATCATGCTTATACTAATGCATTCCTGGTCTCACCTAGCAAAGCAATCTCTATGCTTAGGCTAGGACTTTTAGCATATGAAAATAGGACTTACTATACTATTGCTCAAACTAAGTAATCCTCTTTGCACATGAGTGATTCCCTAGGTCCATAATGATGGAGTTAAACTCTAACGCTCCTTAAACCATCATCATTTTCTAGGCTTATATAGAGTAGGACCACGACCTCCTAACCCTAATCTAGGGTAATCTCGTAGATCATTCCATATCCTAAATCTGTTGTGGCAGAATCAAGCTCTATGCTCTAGATCATCAGGACTTCCTAAACTTATACAGAGTAGGGCTGTGACCCCCTAATAAAAGATAAAATAACAATTGTTTCAAGAAAAATATAAAGTATACATATACAAGAATTCATTCTCATCAATCTTCATCATGCTTATACTAATGCATTCCTGGTCTCACCTAGCAAAGCAATCTCTATGCTTAGGCTAGGACTTTTAGTCATATGAAAAGGACTTACTATACTATTGCTCAAACTAAGTAATCCTCTTTGCACATGAGTGATTCCCTAGGTCCATAATGATGGAGTTAAACTCTAACGCCTTAGACCATCATCATTTTCTAGGCTTATATAGAGTAGGACCACGACCTCCTACCCTAGTCTATGGTAATCTCGTAGATCATTCCATATCCTAAATCTGTTGTGGCAGAATCAAGCTCTATGCTCTAGATCATCAGGACTTCCTAAACTTATACAGAGTAGGGCTGTGACCCCCTACCTTAATCTAGGGTAATCTTGTAGAAGAAATGCACATGTCTATATAGGTCCCTTCACATGCATCTCATATTAGTCACACACCTGCATACATGTACTTTCACAATTTGCTACTCTATCAGTTCATTAATCACAATGCACATAGTTACATAACATACTTATAAATAATTTCACAAACAAACAAGTAAAAGGTTACTCCAATTACCTTTAATCCTTATTACGAAGGGTTACCAATCACCATGGATTCTATAAAATGTAGATTCCCACGAGCAATGTCACAGGGGCTTAATATGTAGTGTCCTTCAGTCTGTTCTCAACATTTTACATAAGCATTAATTTAGCTAAACTGAATCCCTTAACACATAAATGATTAAATTAAGGCCCTTTGAATTCATTTATCCACTATTTATAGTCATTGACTCTATAGGCCATCCAAGTGATCATAACAACCTTCTAACACATTTATCCACACAATTTCATCCTTTTAAACTAACTTTTAGGCTATTTTGAGCTTAACTCACAAAGCTTAACTATTTAACTCCAAACTAATTTAAAACCTTAGTTCTGTATTTAATAGCCCTTTTAACCTTTCTTTTAAATTCCAACACTTTAAACTCTCTAATTTGATTTTTCAATTGATCAAATCTAATGAAAATTGGGTAGAAATGAAGTGTAGAGCTGTACAATACTTACACGATAAGTCACTAATTGAAGTAAACTCTCGAGCTCTGGATATTTGATACCCTAGCAGATCACAAACACCTCCTCTTCTCCAAACACGTTTTCTTCTTCACTTCTCCCTTTTGATTTCACGAGTTTTAACTTAGTATTTAAGTAAAAAAAATCTATACCATGCGTCACAACACATACAGCCTCCACTATAGTGTGTGACATAGTGAGAAAACTCTCACTACTGCTCGCATGTAATGTCCCAAATTAATCGTTCTACCACTCAATCCTATTAACACAACGGCCAACCAACATAAAATATCAAACTAACTTTCAAACCATAAATCACTCCACTAATTACTAATTTATCCTTGATTAATAACTAGTTTATTGGATTGAAATTCAAGATGTTACTGTCTCTACCTGTCAATCAAATGCTTCTTTTGTTTTCAAGAGTATTTTCGTATCTCTCAAAGTCTTGCCATCAAGAGACTCTCTTACTAGAAACTCATCCCTAGATTAGGGTTTTTTGTAGCCAATGAAATAAAATTAAATTTATCGCATAAATTAAATCTATGATATCATATCTAATTTGAATTTATCTCATAAATTTAATTTATAGAATGGATATGATATCTTCTTATATCTTGTTAGTCATTAAATTTAATTTATTACATAAAACTAAATTTAAAGCTAACACAATAATATAATATAGTATAATATAATATATCCTATATATATATATATATATTATATGACACACACACACACACACACATATACATATATTATTTTAATTTTATTTCATATATTACATATACATATACATATACATATACATATATATATATATATATAAATTCATTCACCCTAGATAAAGCATTATATTCATTAAATCTAGATACATTCAAGATTGAATGAACTTATACATTATAACTCGAGTTGGGTTGTTCTTGTATACAACCCTATAGGCCTAAATGAAGTTAGCAGTAGGCAATAGCGTTACAAGCCCAGAAGTCACAACTAGCCTCTAGTAAGATATTTTGACTACCCAATTTATATGGGGATCAATGATCTAATGTAACTTATCATATAACCGTATCATATTCCTTTTGTTACATGATATTTCAGTGAAGTGTGAGACATAGAATTGTCATTCTTTTTACCTGACGATTACTTTCTCACTCTCTAAGTAGACTGACTATAGTAATGGAAAACCCTTTCCATTATAGTTTGGCCATACATTTTCTTAGCCTTACTCATCGAGGGGCCTAGTAATATCTCTTAATTAATGCGAGGGATAAATTTCATCTTGACCACTTATATTCCTCTTCATGAATATCGCTAAACATAATCATAGCCTTTATGATCACCTAGTTAAAGATGACTTTTGACTAGGTCAAAGTTCAATGGTCATCATGTAAGAATCCATGATGATCTCAAGCAAAGGGCTTATTGACATTTGTTACATATGAAATAAGTTAAGGACTTGTTACCATGCAGCTTTCTCATAGTAGGTCGATCTAGCATTTTGTACCCTTTAAAGTGCCTTCAACTTTGATTTATATCTCTATAATTAATCAAAGTCATATTAGTCTTTTTTCATCTATGATCCCTCGTAGATGATCGACCAGAGATATTTAGAGCAATTATTATAGTCTAACTAAGGATATAGTTATCATAATAAACATGCAATTAATATGATAACAAAAGAAAAATTCATTAAATAATAATATTTATAGTATAATGATTAGCCTTATGGCACAATTTTCAATAATATATATCCACAAGTATACCCTAGACTAGGGCAAAGGGTCATGACCCTACTCTATATAAGGCTAGGAAGTCTTGGTAGTCCAAGCATTGATTTTTATTCGCTGGTAGGGGACACAGGAGAGTATACCACCCACCTTGGATACACTGTTTGTGCTATTGGTTTGTTAGCCCTATTTCACATAAGGCTAAGAAGTTGTGGCCTAAATGTTGAGATTGCTTCACTAGTAGGAACCAGGAGTGCATGAGCATAGAGGATGATTGAGCATGGCATTGTATATATTGATGATATAAATCTATCTACGTCACTTTTATGGAAATGATGCTACTTTATCTTTGTTCTTGATTTTACTTACTAATCAATATTTAGGATTTATCTAAGTTATTGATATGTATGTCTCACTTTATTACCTTTTGCATATAGGTGAAGCGAGCACAATAAGGATAGGAAAGGAAACGAGAAAGGATTAGCTTCATTTCAGTAGTGGTATGACTTATCTTTGTGTGTAATGAATGTATGATAATGTTGTTAAATGTTTAGGTTACCAACTAGGATGCATATGTATATGTATATGTATATGTGCATATATCTTGCTAGACATTCATGTTTTGGTTCTGTATAGTGGCATTTTGAGCTTGATTTCTTTAATTTCTTGTTCTTTTGGCTCTTTTTGAGATAGGAGATCACTATAAACTTATTCTACACCTTCCTCATCTTTGTCACTATAAGAAATAGCATCATCAGAGCAAGAATTGGCATCAAAACAAGGAAGAGGTGTTGGAACAAAATTTTTAGAATTGAATTTTCCAACAACAATTCTCATTTTTATCATCTTTACCAACCATTTTTTCACTTCTAAGCTCAATAGCATTAATAGAAGACTTAAGATTGACAATCGTATTGCTAGGTAAAGTAAGTTGTGAGAATTAGTAAAAGAAATATGGTTAGTTAATAGTCATATGCTTACACAAAGCTTCTATATCATTTTTCATGAAAGAGATATCATCATTGGTAGCTTTGTTTTGAGCTTGTTAACCTTCTCTATCACATTGAACCTCATTTATTAAGAACTTAAAATTTTTGGATAGTATGCTATTGAAAAATGTAACATCCCGAAATTTTAAGACTCAGATTTATTAAAAAAATAAAATAAAATAAAATATCTATAATTAAATTAAAATTTAGAATAATTTGATAGAGGTCCAGAGTTTGAAGTTTACTAAGCAAAAGTTGGTTTTATTGTATTTTTAATTATAGAAAAAATTATCAAAGTTGACCCGAGCTTTTGTGCTATAATAAAAAATGTTGGGCCCTTTCTTGTAATTTTTTCTAAAATATCCGCATTTAAAGTGCAAAATGGATGCAGAAATAAAACAAGGAAAGGAAATGCATGAGAGAGAGAGAGAGAGGAGAATAGAGGAGAAAGAGAGGAACTTAGGCTTGGATCTAAGAGGTTTTATGACGTTGCGAGCTCGGCTACACAATAGGTAAACTCCCTACTTCAATCCTCTTCCTTCTCTCTTAATTTTATTCAATTTTTGGAAGAGAAAATGTTTGAATTTTGATCTCAAAGGCTTTATTTTGTAAGCTTTGGTTTCTTTGGATCCTAGAAAGGATGTGTTAAGTTTCTATATAGTAATCTAATGTTTTGAGTGGATAATTGGATGAAAAGAGATGGTTTGGGCACGAGTCAAATCTTAAGAGGTTGGGTTTTGCTCCTTAATGGTTTAAGTCTATTGATTTAGTTATAATTTTGCTATTTGAGCCCAATAAGATTTAAATTAGGTTTGTTTTCATTATAAGGGCTAATGGTGAAAGTTGGTGACACTAAGTGAAGGTTTTTAATTGATTAAAAATTATATAAATTGAAAATTAGCCTAGTGATGGCTAATAAATGGTTTGGTGGTTAAGTAGTATTATGTGAATGGTTGGTTTAATATATAGACTATTAGGATGGATTATGACTCATTGATCCAAGTTGTGTGGTATGAGTTATAGTCTTTATTAATGTTATTTGTCATGATAAGTGATGTGGATCACTTATATGTTGTAGGGATTGTTGGTAGAATTTGTTTCAGAAGTTAAGGAACAAGCCAAGTCTTATTTGTATAAAAGGAACCCTTTTGGTACCAAAGGGTTGAGGTAACAGGAGAATTTATATTTTTTATTACTTTGTTTTAGCTATTTTTGAATAAATATTACTAACTATCATGCATTACATGTTTTAAAAGATTAAATGTGCTTTATAAGGAGTTATAGGATACTACTTTCATTATAGTGTAAATATATTTTCTAATTGTTTAAACAACAATGTTTTCATGAAACGAGATTTTTTTGCATGTATTGTAATTATAAAGAATAAAAGTTGCACTTAAGAAAGTGTAACTAAGTAAGGTACCTTATATAGGCTAAGGAACCGTTTAAGGGAGATTTATAAATGTTATACTACCTCAGAGTATTGAAGTGGTCCATACTCGGGAAAGGTAGACACGAATAAAAGGCATGATCTCGGTGAGAGTGTTCACTAATGAGAAAGTGTGGACTTTTGATATTCTATGGCACACTGCCAGTACTCAGTATTGCCTTACGTATTGTGGGCTCAGTGCACTAAAGTGGTTAGTGTATTGAGTGTTCGACACCTCTCAATAGGAGAGGGAATCCGACATATGAAGTGTGAGGTTGAGTTCCTAGGCTAACCCTTTTCTTTTGAGCAATCTCTTTGTAATGTATTTAGAATTAGGGTGCCAGTTAGGATGTGGATTATGTATATATGTGTGAGTATGTTTGGATTGTATGGCTTGTGTATGAATTTTTGTTTGCTTGTAGACTTGTGGTTAGGAAATTTGGCTATGGTGTGTGGTTTTGATGGATTTATTTAGTAGACCAAGTTTTTACTACAAGCAAATATTTATTTTGGTATATATGTAATTCCACAAGTAAATGCAAAGTGGTTTGCAAATGATGTGCTATGGGCAAACATATACCTTGGATAGAGAGAGTGGGTGCATGGGCCCCACAGATATCTCTGAGCCAACTAAAAATGTTTAGTATGTGTATTCATATGTGTATATGATATTTGCAATAGTTTTGGCCACTCTTGTGTGATTTGTACATTTTGGGGGTTTAGAGTCCATTTTGGGAAATGGCACCCGAGTGGTCAAATTTTGATATAAAGGGTTTTTCTATCATTTAAATGTTCTATCAAGTGTTTTTAGTCTATTTGACGTGTCCAAAGTGTTCTCATAGGTTTGTGACCATTAGGATGAGATTTGGACAATTTTGGAAATGGTTTTTATAAAAAAAACCGCACTTTTGCATCCAGGTGTCCAAATCTGAATCCGACTGTTGGATTTCTCTAAAATTTGGGTCACAAGTAAAACTTTTTATAAGCTTCATATGGGCTTTGGAATCACATTGATCAAATATTGGACGAAGAAATGGCGCACTCCAAAATTTTATCTGAAGGAGCTATCATGACAGCAACAGTGATGATGTTGCAACATGCACGAAATTCAATCCGTCTGTTGGATCTTTTCAAAATTTTGTATGCTAATAGTATTATTTAAAAGTGACATGTGGATTTTGGAATCGCTCTGATCGGAGGTCAGATGATGAAATGGTGCACTCTGGAAGTTAGTCCGGATGTGCTGTCATAAAGACAACAAAAATGACCAAACTTTTAACATATCTAATTTTTTAATCTGATCATTGAATCTTTTTAAAATTTGGTACACTTATAGTAACCTTTGTATGTGATGTGTGAGCTTTAAAATTTCTTTGATTGGGGGTCGGATGACAGAACGACGCCTCCTGGAAGTTAGCCCGAGAGGGCTGTGTTGTCATGACAGCATCTTTTTTACCTCACTTTCGCCTAGCTTGCTTCGATGCGCTATAGGTAAAACCTATAAATTTTTTTAAAATGGTTTTTTTTCTTAAGTTGGTTTTAGGATTAACTCCTTAACCATACTTAGTTTATTTGAATTGTGTGATTTTTGGATAACACTCAGGGCAAGTATTACAAAAAAGGTGCTTACTTAGGATTTGGTGATATAAACATCTAACTAGCATAGATTGGAATCTATTCCAAAACTCAAAGAGACTTTCATTAAAATTTTATACCATGCTTGTGATTTGTTTTCTCAAGCTAGTTAGCTTAGATGATGAAAAGAATTTATTCAAAAACATATCTCCTAACTCCTCCCAAATGTGTGCTATAACATGAGGTAGAAAGTTCATATACCATTCCTTATCATGTGACTCAAGACAAAACACAAATGTCCTAGCTTGAACATAATCTATATGAGCACCAACCGATTTCATGGCATTACACACAAGATATAATGAATGCAAGAATCTATGACAATCATCAATGGACAATCCATGAAACTTAGGCAATGCTTGAGTAAGAAAATGCTTAAACTCAAATACATGGCCATGTTGAGGAATGTACAAACCATAGGTATTAGTATTCCAATTAGGAGAAGTAAGTTGCCCAATGGAAATCTCATCATTTTAAGGATGATGCATGCCTACTTCTTTCTTAAATGCATGGTTATGATTTTACATGAAGTTCCCATTGTTCTTTAGGTTTGGTGGATGGATTTAAGTGTTGTTTAAAACTGGAATTATTGCTAGGCCCTCAAAATTTACCCATTCCTTTGGTCGACAACCCCAAAATTTTGCTTTTGAACACTTTGAAGCATAAGATTGACATTAAGGTTAGGATTAGAGTAACTGGTTAAGTCCCTAGGCATTCATAAATAAGCAAGATCAATGTTGTAATTAGGAACAGCCATGGAGGATTCTAAAACAAGATGGTTATCAATTGGTTTTGCTAGGCATTTATAAAAGTGCATTTTATGACAAAATTACCTCTAATACATGTATTTAAACACTTAGGCAAAATTGCACTAAGAATGTAATATCAATGTATATGTAGACTCTTAACATATAGAAATGGTTCTAAAACTAAAGCACATACAATTCCCAATTTGCCCTTGAATTTCCAACAAAGCTCAAAATGACCAAAATACCCCTAATATGCACACTTTCTCATTAGGGTTTCCTATCATGAAATATGATCCTAAATGCCTAAGAATAGTGTGTAACAAATATGACCTATCAAAATTCTTCCCACACTAATCTTTTGCACTTTGAGCAAAATGAAATCAAAAGAATACCTCACCTCATAATTCGCAAAATCCTAAAAAACAAAAGAAGAAAACACAAATGAAATGCCAAGAGAAATCAAATCAGAAGTCATGGAAATTTTCATTCAAACAAAGATGTTATTGCCCTAATTAAAGAACTTTATCCCTCACAAATTAAACATTAAAGAGATGCCAAATCATAGATAAAGCCTCACAAAGGTATAATGTTTGCTCTCAATCCATTTAAGTGTTTGAAGGTATATCATTTCACTCCATGTACATTAGCAAAGTATCCTACTATAGGCTTGTAATTCCTCTACCTCTCCATTACTAATTTGCAAATGTTCTCAAGAATAAATGGATCTTTATTATGGATGTCATGTGGCTAACAAAAGGATACACTTGGATTTGCATGTGAAAGGGTAGGGTTTTGGCTCAAGAAACCATGACTTGGCCACAACGTGAGCATGCAACAATGTTCAAAACTTTCCAAACCTTAACTAAATAGATATAAACTTAAGTGGAAAATGAAAATGAGAGGAATATGAAAGAAAAGGAATAAAGTAATAAGATGACTTGTAACACAAGAAAATCCTTATTTTCTTACTTGAATTTTAGTTTTGCATTTCCTTTCTTTTCTTCTCTTATTTTTCTTCATCTTTATTTTGAATATTTTTCTTCACTTTTTTTTTCTTTCTTTTGACAACTTTTTCATTTCTTTCTTTAGCTCCTTTTTTTTTCCTTTCTATTTCTTTTTCTTCAATTTTTTTTTCGTTGCCATTCTTTTCCATATATTTTTTCTCTCATACAAAAGCTATGAAATGTTTTGGGTTTAAGGATAAGAGTAACATAAAATAAAGACTTGTTCCTTTAAGGAAATGAAATAAATGTGGGAAAATGATGAAGGAATGAGTTTATCCATTAAGTTAAACCAAGAAAAATTAAGAACATTGAAGAACACCATAAAAGAGTACATGCAATCCATGGAAAAACAAAGGGATAGTATTTGAAAATGAGTGAAATAAAAGAAAGGCTCAAATTAGTTAACAAGGGATAATCAATCATATTAGGGTTAGCTAAAAGGCTTTGTGCTTTCTACATGAATGCCAAAATCATCTTCTCTACAACAAATGCAATGATGTATCCTTGATTAAGAGGAAAGACAAGTTTTAGAGGGTGCAAATACTAAAGAGAAAACTCTCATTGGTTGAAAGCTCCTTTCATGTTGGCTAATTTTGCTTTTCTAATCAAATGCACACACTCTAATAGAAAACTTGCTTCATAAAGTATAAAAAATTAGGGCAACATCATCTTAAAAGTTCATATTCCAAAATCCAA